AAGGAGCCCCAAACATAGTATAGGTAATTATTCAGGCCCCTATATGAGGGTTTAGGGTCTAAGTTCAAGCTACCATGCCATAGTAAGGACTGGGTATTGATAACATAGACCTACCTGCAGATCCCAGTACCTCTCCCTTGCGGCTCAATGCTACAAGCCTTGCGAAAGCTAAGATTAACTACTGCGAGCTGAGTTTGCGGGTAAACCCCGCTAAGCCCTAAACCCTGAACCCCAAACCCCAAACCCTGAAGCTAAACCCTCAAAGCTCGACCAGCCCCAACACTCTGCAGCTCCGCCCCACCCTAAACCGTTTGTGCAAGAACCCAGCACAACGTGAAAATTCTAGTTCGTGGAAGAATCCGTGTAAATAGCCTTATGAATATCCGAATTGACCTGAGAGGGCCCCTTCGCACTACTCGTTCAAAACCCTCTGTTTGTTGTCCATCGGGAGGCCCCTCTTCTCCGAAACTCCCCACAGCACAGCTTCCCGAAAGCCACAAGGACTTCTGGATTGAAGGCTCGCAATCATGAACCTAATCCCTAAACTTTACAAATCCCTAGAACCCAAACCCTCAAAGCAAGATCTCCAAGTGATTCAAGGCGGTAGTGATGTGCAGTTACTGATGGTGCTCATGCTGCTGGTGCTGCTGCGGTAGCGGCGGGGGTGGCGGAGCCGGTGGCAGGTGTCGTCGAGACACTCGGAGGGAAACACACAGCAGGAAAACGGCACACAGAGCAACAAAACCCTAAAGCCTAAAGCCTAAACTCTAAAACCCAAAACCCTGAACCCTACACCCTACAACCCAAAACCCAAAACCCCCAAACCCTGAAACCCTAAACCCTAAACCCTTTTCGCGACCTCGCGCAGCTGTTCTGGTCCGTACACTTACGTGCCTTCGGCACCTGTACGTCGGTACGGATTCCGAGTTTTGGGGATGAAACTCTGAGCTCTCAGTGATCAACCAGACTCCCTGAAACGTCGAACGCCCACAAAACGCTGAGAACTTCGGGTTGAGGGTCTGAGGGACTACAACTGGATCTTCGGACCCTTAAACATTAATCCTAGAATACACTGGCGCCGGGCAAGTAGCCGATCTCCAGAAGCCAACTGCTAAGCCCTGCATCCCAACAACGCCCGTAACCGCTAAGTTCGTCTAAGGCCGTGTACGACACTTACCTACCACAAAACCCCGAAACGACAAAAAACTGAACCCCGACATCTTTATCAGAGCTCCCATGAACCCCAAAACTCTGGAAGCCCTAAGCACTAACGCCCCATAAATGCCCTAGCAAAAAACGGAGCAGCATGACGGAGAGTTCACGTGGCGCCTGGGCCATCTTCCAATCAGCACCGGAGCCGGGATTTCGTTCTTAAGGACTTCTCTGGCGCGTCAGGATTTATATGAAGCTTGGGATTTTTTGCTGGAAAGCTCCTTTGGGATTTAGGGTATGTAGGGCTTAGGCCCTAGGTTTTTAAACTTGAGAGCTACCTGAGTTCAGGGTACCTGGGATCATAGCAACAGGCAGCAGCAAGACTGAAACAGCCCCATAGTAATCAAGACGATGTTGTGCTGATAACGATGATAGAAACCAAGACTGGTTTAGGGTTTAGGGGTTTAGGGCTTAGGGTTTAGGGTTGGTGACATGTTAAGAAGCCTCATGACAGCCAACGATGGTAGCAAAAGCAAAACGCAGCCATCCGTCATCATCGTGATTGCGGTAGAAACGCTTTGTGTGCCGACATTCCAGTGCGCTTTGGCTTAAGGTTTCAAACGCCTTTTGACTGCGTTACTGATATAATGGCAAGGGGTAGCGACTCGCGATAATTCGAGTCATGAGAATATGTACAATCCAACATGAGTGGCCCACTCTGAACTCCCTACCTGCATCGCCCCGACGGTTCTTAACACGGCTCTTGCCGCCCAACTGGCGACAATGCCAAGGAAGCAAACTCAGGCTACTTGAACCATGAACCCTACATCCTACACCCTAACCCAAACCCGACACCCTGACCCCCCTATACCCTACACCCCGGTACTAAACCCCAACAAAACCATGAGGCCTTAAGTAGGAATCCTGTCCTGCTCCCAGACCTAGTGGTCCTCTCTCTAATATAGGGGCCTTAATAATTAGAATAGGGTTTTGGGGTCCATTATAGTATAGTCAGAGTCATAAAAAGGAACCCCCAAAATAGTATAGGTAATTGTTTAGGCCCCTCTATTGACCCCCACACCCCACCAGCTTCGGATGAATGCCCCTTGTCAGCCAACCCCCACGCAGCTGCGAGACGGGAAGTCTCATTTCTGAACGCGCATCATGTCTGTGATCAGATCCTCATCAGAGGCACATCATGGCTTAGGCTTTGGTGCCGGGGTTTGGAGTTAGAGGATGTAGAAGAGCCAAAACAAGGTTGCAGTGCCCCTCTGTCACAATAACTTGTCAGAAACCGCAAGCACCTGAACCACTGGACAACAGAGAGAGCTCTCTTCGACGGACATGCGAGCTTCAGAGGACGAACCCAGGGGCCCACACCCGAACTGGTAGAATCCTAACTTAACGGGACTTCCGGGTTCGGGACCTCCAATTACAAACAGAATGCAGGTGCAGACCAAGATCTCTTCCGCACACCACCAGATCCCAGAAGCCGTAGCCCAGAATTCCATGGGCCGTCAGCACGCCTCGATCATGAGTTTAGGGTTTAGGGTCTGGGGTTGAATTCGTCCGTCGATTTCAGGCTTTTGGGCTTCGGGATGCAAGGATCGCAATTTTAAAGCTCGGAACTTGCGCCTGAACCAAGAATCCCAAAGAACGAGTACGGCTCGCGCATGCCGCACTGTCCGTCATCTAAAGGTTGCAGTGGTCGCGTTGATCCCCTGTTTGGTGCAAGTGTTCTCACATCCCACGAAGGTTCCACGCATGGCCAACAGGAGCCCATCAGACAGCATCTCGTATGACTGCATGACTGTGCAAACTGCTCGAGTGAATTCAGCAATCCTGTTGACAGGCGCAACCTTCGCGCAAGCAAGAAAATCCTTTTATGCGCACGAAACACAGCACGCAGGACAAATGGTGTCAGGCTTCATTCCCTTTCTGCCGCCTTGCAAGCATTCTATCTGCGGGCCTTGCACCCGTCTGCCAGAGCAGCACGACTCGTGGCTTCAGGGCCCAAGCGCAGACAACGACCAGCGACGACTGTGGGGCTGTCAAACGAGCCATCCATGATGCTAGAATCAAAACTTATCTGCAGCTACGGTCCGATACAAAAACAGCCCTGGAAGACTACAGCTTGCACCGATGGCAAGACACCCCCTTGCAAAACTGCGTGCGTTAAAATGTCTAAGCAGGCAGACACGGGCCATGGGCAAGAGATACCGATGTCATCATTCACCTGCAGTCTGTGCTGCTCTTGGCAAGCAGTTGGATACTAGAAGAAGACTGTTCGGATTCTCCCTCGGCCGCCCTGCGCTGTACATGACTGGGAAGAAACGTCCCAACCTCGCGGCCCCCCGAAAACCAGGGCAACACGACCCGTGGCTTCCGGAGCGGCAAGGTGTCAGTGGCGCTCGGTGCGAATTCCGGTGGCGCTGCTTCCAATACTACAGGGTTTAG